ATGCAGAAATTTGCCAAGGGCTTCTGGGAAAGTTTTTGCTCTCCTGGCAAAAGGAATTGAAGAAGTTGGCATTGCTCCTTCTACTTCTTCCTGCTTTGGACACAGATTGGATGTCTGCAGCTGCAGCAGCCATCTTGGGACCAAGACGTAATAAACGAGAGGGAAACATCAAGAGAATCACAGAAATATCAGCTCTGATGTTGCTGAGCCACGAATCTAATACTGGATCCAAACTGATCCAAGTTCTACCTCTAAACTTCTTGTTATGTGGTGTAAAAAACAAACAAGCTCTATAAGCTGAATTTTCTTGTAGCCAGAAGTATGACTTTTGAGGTGGTTGAATAACCTAGGTTAAGGGCAACTTCTGCATGTGAACATAAAACAAGCTCTTAGCTTCTTGGCAGCCAAGATAAAAGAGCAAAAAGGATTAATACGGCTCTCATCATTCAATAAAAAGAAGCTGTAATGGTAATCTATTTTTGTCTGCCCGTTATCCCTTTTTCCTTTTGGTAACAGCACCTCAGTTCCTCTTTGAGAAAGTTACTCTCTCCATTTAGCTTGTACTTTTGTTGGGATTATCAGTCTAGCTACCGTGTCTTCTTCTGGAAGAGGTTGTGGGAACATGGGTAGAGTCATGTGACCAACCAGGCCAGCCAGTCTCTTTCCTGGGACAAGGGCAAAAATGGCTGGAGTTGATTTCCACCATTGACAGGGCCCTGAAGTAACACCTTACCCCTGCCCTCTATTCATTCATGCCAACAAGATCCTTACAGCTACTGTTTCCATCCTTCTCAAGGTTTGATGGTTCACCTTGTCCTTCGATTTTTTAAGTTGTCCAGTATCACTCCAGGAAATGCCTTTTTTTGGTCTAAGTTGGTCAGCGTCAGTTTCTGTTGTTCTGTCTAAACAAAGGTAAGTCTTTCTTTGGTAAGCAGTCCTGTGATCTCAAGGTTGTGCTTGTCAGATGTTCCCTAACACTCCTGTCCACCAACATCAGAAATTCCCCAATTCCTGAGCTGACCACCACAACAAGGGGCAGCCACCGCTGCCAACATCTTACTTCTGTTTGGAAAGAGTGTGACGAGGACACCGGAGCTCCCACTGCGAGGCTTGGCACAGGCTCTCCCACTACAAGCAGACCCCATCCCTCCTCCCCTGGCTCCCTGCTCCCCCAAAGGACTACGTTACTGCAGCTGCCCAGGAGGGAGAAAACAGCCTCCATGTCCGAGGTCATCGGCAGAATCATGGCATTTAGAGGTGACCAACCACAGGTTACTTCACAGCCTGAGACCAGTCCAGGGTGGCCCTTTCCAGCCTTGGAAGCCAAGTATTTCCTTAGCAAAGTGAAATCTGTTTTGATCACCTATTTTTCTAATTTGTCACCTAACCAAAAACCAAAACCACACCTATTGCTGTCAAGTGAATTCCAACTCATAGCGACCCTACAGAATAGAGTAGACCTGCCCCACAGGGTTTCCAATGAGCGGCTGGTGGGTTCAAACTGCCGACCTTTTGGTTAGCAGCTGAGCTCTTTAACCACTGCGCCACCAGGGCTCCACTGCCTAACCAGGTACCTCCATTTCAGAAATGAAATAGATACATTGTGTCTTTCTAATTTGTATCAGAATATCATTTTTGCTGGACTGAGGTAGTTAAACTAGGTAAAAGCCAGTTGCTAATAAGTTACAAAATGCCATTCCTTTCCTGGTTGTAGCATCTCCTAGGAGAAGGAAAAAGCATTTCCAAATACCTAAGCAGCAATGCCCTCAGCTCTGGAATTACATGCAGGCTGCAAGCCAATGCAGAATCAGACAGGAATCTCTCCTTAACGTCCTCATTACGTGATTTTCCTGGCACCTCCTCCAACAGCGCCTCTTTCACTTCCAGGTGACCCAAGCGCCTTCTCTTCCTCTGAATCTGGCAGCGACCTCAATACCAACAAAATCGGCAACCAAAATGCTCCCAGCTCTCACATCAGCAGCAGCCGCTATCACGCTGACGTCCAGGCCCGATGCTCAGCACTCTGCATGCATTATTTAACCCACATCCCAACTCTCTCTGAAATCACGACAATTTCTGTTTCACATCCACAACTACACAGGGACCCACAGCAGCCTGGCTGCTGACATCTGCTGCCTCTGCCAGGTAAACAAGGAGAGTTAAGGACGAGAAATAGGCCTGCTGGTGCCAAGGTGGTGACTCAGGGAAATCCAGGGCTGCTGGTATTCTTCCTGACTCCAGTGCTCGCTCTCTCAGCTGACCCATGCTGCTCTCTCGGAAAGGCAGGCAAAAGCAACAAGATCACAAAAGACATCTGGAAATGAAAGGGTTCTATCTTAGCCGTGGTCAAAGAGCCTTTCCTAAAGCAGAAGTCTCCCCCTGCTCCAGTGGGGGCTTTCACAGCTCTAACTTCTAGATTGTTGTTGTTAGGAGCCGTGGAGCTGGTTCCGACTCATAGCAACCCTGCAGGATAGAGTAGAACTGCCCATGGGGTTTCCAAGGAGAGGATGTTGAATTTGAACTGATGACCTTTTGGTTAGCAGCCGAGCTCTTAACCACTGCACCACCAGGGCTCCAACTTCTAGATTAAAGAGTCACAACTGTCTCTATTCCTGGCTCAACTGCAGCATCACACACCATATTCACCGTGAACTTGGTTGCAGCTCCTGAAAAAAACTGTACACTGAAAACTGTGCTTTGTGATATAAACCTAAAATAAACACTTTGATGGGAATATAAAATACATTAGAAAGAAAGAAAGAAGGGAACCAGCATTTACTGGGCAACTGCAATTCTCAGCCTTTTGCATGCACGTGTCATTTAAACCTCTTCACCATGACTCCTTTATACAAATGAGGAAACCGAGGCTCAGGACACAAACTGCCCCAGGTGATATGGCTTATAAGTGGCAGAATCTGAATCCATATCTAGGGCTGTCTGGTAGCAGTTTATGTTTTTCCTCTACCACCTCTAAGAAATGAGGACAGAAAGGAATGCTTCAATAATATGGAAAGAGATAATGTGGATCGTTAAATGTGTAAGTTAACCAGAAACGGCACTCCTTCCCCCAGATGAGTCATTGTATAATTACATGTGCCAGAATCCTACGGCAGCATTAGCGTTTAGGTCTAAGGCTACAGGACCTCATCCCACCTCATCATCTGCTCCAGTGGCAGGGCCACACGGCAGTTGTCAGGAACCCAGAGGTCAGTCCCCAAGACTGGGGTGCCTAAACGTGGCACGCGGGAGCAGGGAGTCCACTGGCCTCACAGAACAGATGATGCTATGTTCCAGTCTCTGTTCTAAGCATTAGCAGTACAGGCAGAAATAAGAAAAATGAGACCCTGTACTGAACGGAGCTTTCAGTGACCATACAAGCAGCGAACAACACGGATAAAAGACTAGGGAATTCTCCCAGAATGTTCTGGATTGTGTAAGGTGCCCCCAGCCAGGACACAGCCCTGAGATAGGGAGAGACATTCCAGTAAGAACTGAGATTACATTTCCTCCAGCTCAGTGAGATGAAGAGTTTGGAGCAGATTAAATATGATTTAGAGAAAATAAATGTGACTTTTTTTTTTTAAACATTTTACTGTGTTTAGGTGAAAGTTTACATAGCAAATTAGTTTTCCAATCAATAATTCATACACAAATTGTTCCGTGACATTGGTTGCAATCCCTGCAATGTGTCAGCACTCTCCCCATTTCCCCCCAGGGTTCCCCGTTAGCATTCCTCCAGTTCCCCTGTCCCTCCCTGCCTTCTCGTCCTAGTTTTGGGCAAATGTTGCCCTTTCGGTCTGGTATCGTTGATTGTTCTAAGGAACACATTCTTCACGGTGTTATTCTTTATTTCCTTATTTGTCTATTATTTGGCTGAAAGGTGGCCTCCGGGAGTGTCTTCAGTTGCAGGTTAGAAGGTTGTCTGAGGGCAATAGTCTCAGGGGTCCCTCCAGTCCCTTTCAGACCAGTAAGTCTGGTTTGTTTTTCTAAGTTTGAATTTTGTTCTACATGTTTTGCCCATTCTAACTGGGAACTTCTATCGCGGTCCTGGTCAGAGCGGTGGGTAGTGGTAGCCGCGTACCACCTAGTTCTTCTGGTCTCAGGTTAGGGAAGGCTGTGGTTCATGCGGGCCACCGGTCCTTCGGATTAATTGAGTCCTAGAAATATGACTTTTTTACATCCTGTGTTATGGAGTAAAATTTACACCAACTGCATATTCTTTCTATGATGTAACCAAGTTGGCTTGTTTTGTTTTTTTTGAACAGATATAAAAGCTGAGGAGAGTGACCTGCCACCTTACTGCTCTGTGGTAAGCGCTCAGGAATCTAACATCACTGTATCGTGCGTCCAGTTTGGTCTAACCATAATCAAGGGTTTGGTACACACCTCCAGGTTCATTTAAATTAAAGTCGTGTCACCCATGGATAAGTGAATAAGAAAGAACAGTGTTCTAGTGATGACAGCTTTCCAGGGTTGTACTAGGCTGTGAAAAGTTCCAACCTTTTGCTAATACCAGCCTTTCTTCACTCCCAGTCAAATGCTGGAGGCAAATCAGTGCATTAAAATTTACCAGGGACTGTCTTCGAGAGAGCTAAGATTAAAAGATAAGCCTCTCGGATAACAAGTAACCTCAGCAATGCTCACGAATCCTAAAAACCGAGACTCTGAAGGCTGGATCTTAGAAGAATATTATGATCGTGGTGGCAGCTGATGTGGTTATTTCTTTTTCCTTCCTCACAATCTTTTTAGCTCTGTTCTTTGCAACCTCAAAGAAATGCACTCCCTTGGGAAAGCTCACACTGTACCCAACAGCGAAAAGCAACAGGATCTACGAGATTCCACCTGTCACCAACCAGACAGGGGTCAGTTCACTCCACTCCTGGGTGAGGCTTTAGCGATGACTGCAACTTGAGTACACTGTTGATCCAGCTTCAAGAGGCTGTGCCCGCCCAGAAAGACCCCCAACAAAATCTGGAAATGCAGATAAATTTCTTCCTTACCTGAAAGAATGGCAAATTGACTGTGAAGTTGTTCTATTATGTCCACTGCCAACAAGGGCCTGATTTCCTGCTGCATAATTTCATCTGCACAAATGAAATACAGATTAGGTTAAATCCCGGCAAATGACACAAAGAAACTAAAAGAAGAGAAGTTCCACTACTAGGGAAATCTGAGACTTGTCATATATGGTCATGAGCACAGTAGTCTCTTGAGAACCCGATTCCTGAGATTCAGGGACAGACCCAGGTCTCCTGTGGTACCAAGCTCATATATACACACATGGCAACACAATTCCAGAGCCTCTCCCAGGGTTTTGGGAAGGACCAATGCAAAGAAGGCTTCACAATAAATCCCCTCTGCTGGGGTGGTTTCATTACCACGGCAGGGATTCATGAACTCCATTGGGTCTGTGGAAGGACATTTTAAACACAACCAACAGAAGTTACCAGAGCTTGTCTCAAGCTGGGTCATAAGATTAGTCTGGGGCTTATAAGGGTTCTTCGAATTTTGTTTTTCTCCCTCACTCCCTACCCCCCTTGATTTTTTTTTTTTTCCTGCCAGAATACTTCAGCGGGCTTCTTCCCACTGCCTAGTATGTTTAAGGAGTCACGTCTGCATTTTGCTATTTAAAGATGCTCCTTAAAAATAAATGAGTTTCCAAGGCAAAAATCCAATCTTTCAAGCACAAACCTGTCCCTACAAATACCCTCTAATCCTAACAAGTGACTATAAACTTTGCATTTCTGTCCATTTGAAGAAAGGGAATAAAAGAGAGAGAGACAGAAACTAAGTGGAATCCCTTAGTCTGCCCTGGGAAGAGGAAGGGACCTTCACCCTCTCTTCTAAGATACTATTATCTTCATTTAGCTATTTCCTGGTGGCACAGTGGTTAAGCATCCTGCTGCTAGCTAAAAGATCGGCAGTTGGAATCCACCAGCCTCTCCTTGGAAACCCTATAGGGCAGTTCTACTCTGTCCTGTAGGGTCGCTATGAGTCGGAACTGACTTGACGGCAACACGTTTGCTTTTAGCTATTTCCCAGGGAATTTCAAAGAGTGAAGCGGTTATTGTTTCTACTGCAGTTAAACATCTGGTTAGGTTAAGGCATACACCAAACAGCCTTGTGTGCTAATGCTAAATGAGAATTCCCTGCTGATCCAGAGGGTTATGGTAACGTAATCACGTTCTAATGTTGCCTGAAGGCAAGTTGGGGAAGCTCCTCACTGAGCCTTGGCTTCTACTTCTCAGCTTTGTTGTGAAGGTTAAAGGACACGACGCAGACAGAGAGGTATACAGTAGGTGCTGAGTAAATGCTAATTATGCCCACTGCTTTGGAAGGACAGGTCTTTCCCAAAGGCAAGGGCATATTTGCTTTCTGGAAGTCTTGTGAGGAGTGGACCGAGTGCCAGCTTAAACCCCAAAACCCTCCTCAGTGAATTCTACCATTCTTTCTGGAGGTAAGGGGGTTAACCCAAGCCAGAGCTTTCTTATCCCAATACCCTTTCCACTGTGAATTGACTAAAAATTCAAATAACTCCTGGACTGTTTATATCAGAGGGTTTAATATTGGAATTGTAGTTATATTTTGGAGTTCCTGGGTGGTGCAAATGGTTGACGAGCTCAGCTGTTAACCAAAAAGCTGGAGGTTCGGGTCTACCCAGAGGCACCTCGGAAGAAGGTGAACTACTTCTAAAAAAATTTTTTTTAAAAAAAAACAAACCCATTGCTGTTGAGTCAATTCTGACTCATAACGACCCTACAGGACAGAGAAGAACTGCCCCATAGGGTTTCCAATGCTGTAATCTTTACGGGAAGCAGACTGCCATTATCTTTCTCCCACAGAGCAGCTGGTAAATTCAAACCTCTGAACTTTCAGTTAGTGGCTGAGTACTTAACCAACCAGTGTACCATCAGGGTTCAAAAAAAAAAAAAAAAAAAAAATACAGCCATTGGCAGCCCTATGGAACACAGTTCTACTGTTACACATGGCGTCACAATGAGTTAGAACTGACTAGATGGCAGCTGGGTTTTTTGTTTGTTTTTAGTTATATTTTACAAAAAGGGAGGGGGCCTTCTCTGTTAGATACACAAAATGAAGGAGAGGCAGTCCTCGGGTTACGAACGTTCCACCCCTAGTTACAACCAAGCCCCCTAAAACCTATCAGGAAAAACCTGACTCAGTGTCTGGCCCTGGGTTCCCATGATGAGCCGCGCTTGTCCAGTGTGTACAGGTGCCACAGCAGGTCCTTGGGCGGCCCTGGCGGTGGGCAGACCCCTGCAACATGGTGGGCCCAGCACGGCCGGCAGCAGCTAGCAGAGTGCCCACATGCACTCGATTCCCTCAGGGCCTGGAGAGGGCCGGCCGCATTGTCCACGTGCCCCGAACATCGCCACTCTGCTCGCATGGTGGGCCTGCAGATGGTGGTGGGCCTGCAGGTGATGGCGGGCCTGCAGGTGATGGTGACCTGCAGGTGGTGGCCACCTGCAGGGGGTAGAGGTCTGCAGGGAGTGGCCGTCTGCAGCTGGCCCATGGGTGTGTTCTGAGTACTACCAGTCGCTGCCCCGGCTGGGCACGCAACCAGGCCCCACAATGTCCCCTTACCCAGCTCTGCTCCACCTGGGCCATCATGGCACCTCTCTGGGCTTTCTGTTTTCCCCACCTCACACAGGTGGGATTCCACTACTGCAGCGGTTTTTGGCCTTTTGATGGCTGGAACGCGGGACGGTCTTAGATTCCTGAGCTCTGTATGTCTGTATGGTTTCCGGGGGTCCGTGGAGAACTTCAGACTTGGGTCTCCCTAAGTGTCCTCTTCCCAACCCTTAGGCCCCAGGCTCCATCGTAGCACATCCTGAGCAGCACTTTCTCCCTTGCATCCTGAGGCAGCGGCCTCATAGTAAGTGCGTGAGGTTGACAGGTCTGGTGACGTGATGGGGGAATGATCTATCTGGCCCCAGTACCATCCTACCCATGTCCCCAACCCTCCCTGCCTCTGCTGAGGTTTCAAAACCCAGCAGAAATGCAGCCGGTGGTACAACGTAGATTTTTTTAGTTCAGAGTTTACAATAAAGTATCTAATTGTCTCAAAGATTTCACAGAACAGAATCTTCTGAGTATTTTGGGTAAAGTCTGCCCCGTAGGTATCTCTTCAACTGTGGAGAAGGTACATACAATGGTTTGTAATAACAAATGAGCTACTTTGTGACACATTATTATTAGTTTATTATTATGTTGAAGATGTTTTAGTGTATCTGAAAGTGTTTAATGTTTTTTATACATAGAAAGTAAACTATATATTATATACTAAGACAAACATTTGACTAACTGATCTTAGATACACACCATACCTAACTGTTCCAACTTAGGTACAAATTCAGCTTAAAAGCAGACTTAGGAACGGAACTTGTTCATAATTCGGGGACTGTCTGTATTTGACAGTGAAATGATACGAAGTCTATATTTTCTTTAAATACTCTCCTCCACCAAGACTGTTCATAGTAAGTGAGGAAATATGAAACAAGATTGACAAAATGCAGATAAATTATTGAAGCTAGTTGGCAGGTACATGAGGGTTCATTATACAATTTTTTTGCACATTTCAAATTTTCAATAATAAAATATAAACCACAAATGGACAACGTAATGAATTTCAGTTGAAATAGGAGTTACGAACTTGAGATTTTCAGAACACAGTCCAGGGGTCTGGGAAAGTGGCACGCTCAGAAATAGTGCTTGGTTATTACTAATTTCATGCCTGAGGAAGCGTATTTAAAACATAGTGAACCTGGTGAAAAAAACATGAACATCATAAGGTATTATTCTTGTACCTCAGTACCTGAGGTGTGCTTATTTTTTCAATTGTACTTTAGATGAAGGTTTACAGAACAAATAGCTTCTCATTAAACAGTTAATACACATATTGTTTTAAGACAATGGTTAACAAACCCATGACATGTCAACACTGTCCCTTCTCAACCTTGGGTTCCCTATTACCAGCTTTCCTGTCCCCTCCTGCCTTCTAGTCCTTGTCCCTGGGCTGTTGTGCCCCATTAGTCTTGTTTTGTTTTATCGGGCTGTCTAATTTTTGGCTGAACAGTGAACCTTGGGAGTGACTTCATTACTGAGCTAATAGGGTGTCCAGGGGTCATACTCTTGGGGTTTCTCCAGTCTCTGTTAGGCCAGTAAGTCCAATCTTTTTTTTTTGTGAGTTAGAATTTTGTTCTACATTTTTCTCCAGCTCTGTCTGGGACCCTCTGTTGTGATCCCTGTCAGAGCAACCAGTAGTGGTAGCCAGGCACCATCTAGTTGTACTGGACTCAGTCTGGTGGAGGCCATGGTAGTTGTGGTCCATTGGTCCTCTGGACTAATCTTTCCCTTATACCTTGTTTTCTTTATTCTCCCTTGCTCCCGAAGAGGTGAGACCAGTGGAATATCTTAGATGGCTGCTCACAGGCTTTTAAGACCCCAGACGCTATCACCAAGGTAGAATGTAGAACATTTTCTTTATAAACTGCATTATGCCATCGAGCTAGATGTTCCCTGAGACAACGGTCCCCACAGCCCTCTAACCAGTAATTCAGTCTTCAGGTGTGCTTTAAATTAAACATTTTAAATTAAAGTGAAGACATAAGATCTGAAAGGAATAACAGAAATGAACTAAGCCAACCATCACACCACCCCTTCTCATATTTTTAAATGAAGAAACTGAAACCCAGAGAATTATGAACTTGCTATGGTCTGAAGAAAAAAATTCAAACCTCGAGTTGCAATACTGAAGGATTCTATGGGAGGAAATACTAAACAATTCAAGAAGCATCAAAAGAAGATGTAAGGATTACACAGAGTCACTATACCAAAAAGAATTGGTCAACATTCAACCATTTCAGGAGGTAACACATGATCAGGAACCAATGGTACTGAACGAAGAGGTCCAAGCTGCACTGAAGGCACTGGTGAAAAACAAGGCTCCAGGAATTGATGGAATACCAGTTGAGACGTTTCAACAAATGGATGCAGTGCTGGAAGTGCTCACTTGTCTATGCCAAGAAATTTGGAAGACAGCTACCTGGCCAACTGACTAGAAGAG